GCTCTCTCTCTCTCTCTCTCTCTCTCTCTCTCTCTCTCTCTCTCTCTCTCTCTCTCTCTAGTTATTCCCTCCTCTCTGTCTCTCAGGGGAAAGGACAGTAATACTGGCAATGCTAATGATAGCTCCAATGGTAATGATAATGACCGCGACAACTACAGTGACAATGACAATGACACTGACACTCACGATGAAAGGATAGTAACACTGAAAATATTGAAAAGGTCAGTGAAACTGACAAGGAAAGGATAGCGATCCCGAAGATGGCAATTAAGGATCAAAACACTGAAAATGACAGTGTTTTAATCAAAATGATTGTGACACTGACAATGAAGCGATAGTACTTACTCTACATTTTACTTTTTCGTACTCTGTTTCCGTTAAGCGCCGAGAGGAGGTGCAGTTTTCTGTGGTAGGCCAGCTCCGCAGCTCTTTCAGTTGGGATAGAATTTCTTAGGGTTTCCTTGAGACTGAAAAAGCAATGAAAGTCACACCATTTCAAAACCCATCACACATTAATTAACTTTAGACCCAAAGTTCTCTCTCTTTACCTCCCTAGGTGATCAGCTATGACCTTGCCCCTCGCGCCTCCCTCCTGTACAAGAGCGTGAAGATCAGCGAGATCGTGGAGCCTGAACTGACGGAGCAGGAGCAGCCCCAGTGGCAGATTGTCCAGTCCATCAGGAGAAACCTGCTGGTCATTGACCGGGAGTTCGAGATGAAGCTGGCCAAGAACGTAACCGCGATGAAAAACCCCGACCTTGCCAAGGTGCAAGTGGAGAAGCTTATCAATGCGATTGGTGAATACGTCGACGCGGTGAGCAAAGTCTTGTCTTGTGTTGTTGATATGGTGGGTAATGTTTTGTGTTGTGTTGTTGATACAATGAGTTTTATTTTGTTTTGTGTTGTGTTGGGTTGATATGTGCTGTTGATTATGGTGAGTTTTATCTTGTATTGTGTTGGGTTGTTGACCTGATGAGTTTTGTTTCGTCTTGTCTTGTGTTCTCAAAATGGTGAGTTTTATCGTGTGTTAACTGTTTTGTTGATATGGTGAGTTTTGTTTTGTCTTGAATTGTTGACATGGTGAGGTTTGTTTTGTCTTGTGCTGTGTTGTGTTGTTGATAGGGGGAGTTTTGTTTTGTCTTGTCTTGTCTTGTAGGTATGGCGAGTTTTATTGTGTATTGTATTCGAGCCTCGGAGAGGTGGTTTGAGATGAGAAAATGGGAAATGGGAAGTCGTGAGGTGTGTACGATAAGATGAAATGCCATTTAGTAAGATGGGGTGTAAATAGCTGAAATGCCTTGTAGTAAAATCAAGTGTAAATACATTAATGCCATATAGCATAGTGAAGAGTAAATAGAGGAAAAGCCGTGTAGTAAGACAAATCTGAATAGATGAAATGCCTTGTAGTAAGACAAATCTAAATAGATGAAATGCCTTGTAGTAAGACAAATCTAAATAGATGAAATGCCTTGTAGCATAGTGAAGTGTAAATGGATGAAATGCAATGTAGTATCGTGCTTGCTATACGGGGAGGCGAAATGTGCTGAGTTGAACTTACATGTAGTTAAGTTTGGCGTGAGATGGGGTTAGAAAGGATTGGGTGGTCATACAAAATGAAAGTAGAAACAGTAGAAAGAAAGTGTTTGATATATTGAAGATTAGTAGGAGGTTTCAATCCACCAAACGACACATTTCATTTTTACCAGTTTCGGCAAACTTTGATCATGCAGTGTGGGTGGTTGGCGGGTACTCTGGTGTGTTTCGCTCCTTCTTTTCTATCCAACATCTGTCATCCTTATCTCCCCTCCTTCTTTTTTGTGTTTGTTACTCTCTTGTAACACCTCAAATCTTCGGCACTTTCATGACCTATTGTGTTGCATGTACTGTAAAACTCGTACTAAAACTAAAAACAAACAGTTTAAGGACAATGTACTGTCAAAAGTACTGATGCTGAAACTCTATTTCCTCGATGGTGATATTTTTAAAGTTCTCTTCGAAACATCATTCCAGCATCTATGTGAAACACGCCTATAGTCTATATTATTATGTCAAATGCCCTGTGCGGTCACTGTCGAATTTTTAAAAGGAAAAGTAAGTAAAATTCTCTTCCTATTTTCCTTTACCCCTCCGCCTCCTCTAAAACACCCTCACTACCACCACCACAATAAAACAACAACAATAAAAACAACGTGATCAACAACAACAACAACAACAACAACAACAACATCAACAACAACAATAATCATGACCACCACAACAACGAAAACAACCACCACCGCCACCTTCACCACCACCACCACAATAACAACAACACCAACACCACCTCCGCAAATATCAACACCACCACCACCACCACAATAACGACAACACCAACCACCACCTCCACCACCACCACAATAACGACAACAACTACAACTACCAGCTGGATGCTGTTGTGGAGAATTTGGAGAGGCTGCCCAAGTACCCGACTGTCTACCTGACCTCTGAACTTATGGAGGTCATGAGCTACCTCAAGGTCATTGCCGAGAGTGGACGCCAGGCCCTCCTGCCCATGAGCTACGAGCAGAAGTAAGATAAGATAAGATAAGATAAGATAAGATAAGATAAGATAAGATAAGATAAGATAAGATAAGATAAGATGAGATGAGATGAGATGAGATGAGATGAGATGAGATGAGATAAGATAAAAATAAGATTTTACTATTTTCTGAGGCCGAAATATCCAAAGGTGTAGGTGTTTTTTACGCTACT